ACCTGCTAAGAGGAGCGGTGACACAATGCTATCAACGGATAGTCTCGGGACCTTTTCGCACTGACGAGCCGTCAGCGTTCTGGCTCTCTTCTACAGCTATTACAAAATAGTTTGTTCCTCAAAGCTCTGCTCCATGATGCCGCCGCATCATGTGCCTGTCAAACAGAACCGCCTGACTTCGGCCTCCTATCCTAATCGTGTCTAACTTCGTACATTCAGACCTAGTCAGTACGACAGCTCCTTTGTCTGGAGGGTATCGAGATCGTTGAGCAATCTGCCTCAACAGACATTTCGCAGTTTTACTAACCTCGCAGTTCGAAAATTGAAATTCCAATGTATCTCTAACCACCTTATAGCAGAAGTGGTGCTCGACAGGGATATTACGATCTTGAAAAGTGACATTATGTCGGTTTCCCTATAAAATGTCAACTTAGAACTAGGTGTTGTTTACTTGAAGTGCACTCGTTGTGTAGCTGTACGTGTTGCCTAAACGTCATGACGCTTGAGCTATCATTGTTTGGCTGTAATGTGATGTAACATCTGCTTCAGGGATTTCATTGTTAGAGGTTTAAGCTGTAAGTTGTGTATTACAGTTGGGAGGAAACGGGTGAAACGGCAGAGCAAAGGTGCTTACTGAGAATTTATGTGCTAATAATAATCTGAGATGATTATAATTCCTTTTGGTCTCAAATACACTTACTTGATATGCTTCATCCTGGAAATTAAATATGCAAATTTGCTCAATTTCAGAAATGAGAGAACATTTGAGAAAATAGGTTACAGACAGAAATGTTCATGAAAAGTGTAAAGGTTCTTACATTATACATTATTTTTTATTTCCAGTCGTTTAAGTATAGAAATTTATTTTGTAATGTCTAGTAGAAAGTACTAATCAGCGCTTATATCTGAGGCCCTGCGAAAATGTTTTGTGTGTGATGAGTCGTTTGAAATTTTTCTGTGCGCGGGCGTAGTGGTAATTTTCCGAAATGCTTCTCAAGGTTTTTGAAAATGCAAAGAAACCGGGGAAAATCTTTGTTTACAGCTTTCAACATAACCTGTCTTTAGAAAGGACAACACAAATAACCTGTCTGGAACCCCTTAATGGGCAACATATTCAGTAATAATTTTCTCACGTAGCAAAAATCACTGATTTTCTCCACATGCAGACCAATACATACACCTACAATCACCACACAATCATCCAAATGCGATCTTGTTACTCAGCTACTTCATCAGTTGTCATATCTTCATATATATACTCTACATACTATCTCGGGATTCTGCAACCGACAAAGCATTATAGCTGACTTGCGACATGGTGGTTAAGCATTTCGTTGAGTCATCGCTCCAGAGCAAGCAATGGTGGAATTAAATATTTGCGCACTATGAGCTTATCTAGTCAACTAGTTGACATGTCGTTTTTTATGTATCAACCCTGTCGGTATTTGGGCTTCTACCTACGCGACTGCTTTGGTATGAACAAATAGCTGACCTGAGGCTCATATCTCATGAGGGAGCCAGCAAAGAGGATTTTTTTGTTTTAGGATCTATGAAGCAGCACTTAAAATTTGCCACTTTCCGCCAGTTTAGAAGTGATAATCTCGTTTGACTCCATCGATAAGTGAAAATCTTCCACAAATTAATATAAATTCCTGGAGAATCAGAAAACGAGAACGGGGAGCAGCACACAGCGTCAGTAACGGCAGCTGTCGGGAACGTATAATCAATACTGGATGCTAGCAGAATATATGGAATGTGTATGGTGGCGGATGGTGGATACCTACATCCTATCTCAATAGCGGAATAAAATTCAGTGGCGTAACAAAATCCTTAGCCTAAATTCGGAATAACTGTGCTGAATTTTTAAATAGTTTTATACTGGAGCAGTAGCGAAGACTGAGTCCGGTTGTATCTGTCTTGCATTTCCGTTGCTGTAACCGTTTTTACTTCACATGGTACAGGAGATGACGCGGAAATTCCACCTGCATCTGCAAAATGAGAGAAATCAGCACCTCCACGTAACCAGCGGTATGCGCCACCGAGTGCACTGAAACTCACTCTGCTACTCGCTGCCAGGCTAGATCAGCTCAGACGCGCTTGAGACCGGTTTTAAGGATACGGTAATGAAATTTTACCTTGCAATCAAGTGATATATATATATATATATATATATGGGTGAAGTTTTGCGCTTCAGACTTTATCCATTCTCAAACATTCACGAATTAATCGTAAATTGATGTGTTGTCTTGACAATGTCGCACCAGCCCAGATATGCTTTTTCTGTTGTAAACTTACGGCAGACCGGATACATTCGGAAAAGCTGTAGCTGAGCGGTTGTCTTGAGGCTGGCCAAAGATAAGTGGATCTATCCTAGCAGCGCGGAGCTATAGAGATACCAGCGATGCCACTTGAGATCGCAGCAACAGCGCTGGCTAATTGGGTAATTTTCCCTCCAGTTTGGGGGGTAGTTTTGCACTTTTCTGATAATGTCTCTAGAGATAATTTGCATGAAATGTTCACACAATCTTACTAGCCAAGCATGAAAAAACTTTGTATAGTTTTCGAGAATTGGGCCAATGACCGCAAATTAAAACGCAAAAACGAAAAAAATAAAAATCGATCAAACCTCGTTTTTGACATTTAAGAGGATCCCGATTAATTTTTGAAATCATTTTTAGGGGTGAAAAATTGAAGGCTGGGGTGTTGTAGGGGGGTTTGGAAGAGTGCATCACAATTGTTTATTGTTAGTATGCTAATAATACTCCCGGCATTTTCCGCACTACAAATTTGATACATCATATGCGCTAAGAACGATACAGAAATATTTAAGACGCACGTTTTGCGTATGCTCTCTGGCTTTACCAACCGGCGTGCCGGTCTGTATGAGTGTCTTTGCTGGCTGGGACTGTGTGGCCGTATTGAAGAGAGTTGATGTTGACAGATGGTCGGAACTACACTGTAGGGCAGGGAAAATGTCTATGGACAAAATTATACGGACCTGTTTGATGGACTTGATGAACATTTGTTCGTAGCTTCTTTCTCAGATGATATAACTTAAATATGCTACTTTCGTCCGTCCAACCAAAGATCATAGACAGCTGTTTCTTGCTTTTTTGGAAACTCATCAGTATGGTCTAGGCTTTTTCTCTAGGGAACGAACGAAACATAGCAACTCTTCTCTACCCTTATCTATGGCACTGTCTTATTTCGATAGGATCTAACTTGTGCTGAACATAATCGGTTATGAACTGATGGCGGAGTGCAAAGTCAACCTACTGAACGCCATCTCTTATTTAACCGTGTGAAATTAGGCACTGTGAAACAATAGTTTCAATTTCTATATCATATTGTACCATATTCACATGGAATTTACGCCACGACAAAAGAAATAAACGGGGGCCCTGATCACGCTAGCATTGATGTGTGATAGTAAGACAATATAATAGCACGAGCATCTCATAAATATCATTTGAATGCATCATCCAAGTCATGAAATTTCGATTCTAAAATATTTGGTAACATTCTCATTAACCAACATATGAATCCCGTTACTGTAATCGTTAATTTCCTGTTCTTGACACCTATATAAACTCGATGGAATTGCACTTCTTCCTTATGCACCAATCGAAAACCCATCCTGATCGCTTATTGTAAAACTCCCATCTGTCTTGCCGTCTAAAACTCTCTGATTAAAACTCCCATTGTGAATAATGGTAAAACAAAGGACTTTGCTCCAACTGCAGACACAGACGTTCAGAGATGCGGGCCTTGGAGAATTACTTATGCATGGCTTACTCTGTTTTTCTTTCAGCTTTTCATTACAGAGATTGCTGACTAAAAAACAAAACACATTTTTGTTTGAATGATCTTTTCTCAGTGAACTATATTAGGAGGGTGTTGGTACTAGCAGAATAAATGTAACAAAAGTAATAACAAGAGAAAATAAATTGTCCATGTTTTCACTTTTTTATGGTAATAATGATGCCTTCGACGCTGGGATGATCAACAAATGCGCACATAAAGTAGTGTTTATTGCTGTTAACTGCAATAGAGAAGTTATTCTCAAGTTATATCTTTTAATCTCTGTAACCAAAACTCAAAACTTCAGAATGTTATTTCTCTCGTGTGTGCCTAAATGTGAAATGCGAAAAAGATCAGTATGACTCTATAACTATGAAATTAAAATTTGGGCATTCAGTGTGACTGCTAATGAGCTGGAGAGAAGAAGACTATCAGTGACTTTGTGTCTAACAAGAGATCTGGAACGGCTTGGGTACGCAAAAAACTGGTACAGTTCAATGCTTCCAAAAAATAATACTCTCTAACAAGAAACACCCTCGTCTGGTTTGTCTGGATGGCCGAGTTCTGCCAAAGAACTGTTCACTTCCGCTGGTCGTAGTCCAGATCACCGAAGACTTGATTTAATACGAAGACATCTCGTCAATCGCAACTGCTACTGGGAAAAGCTAGGTTGCTTGTTTGGGGCTAAGAAGTATTTTTCTCCACATCACCTCCTCACTCTATACCAAGCCCAGATAAGATCTAGCTTCAAGTACTGCTCACACGTTTGGGGTGCTGATGCGTCCACGATATTTTCTGTAGTCGATGCTGTTCAGAGGAGAGCTGTCCGACTTATCGATGACTTGTTTCTAACATACAATCTAGGGACCCTTCAGCACCGACAGGTGATCGGCTACTTGACTCTTCTGCCGTTGTAACAACAGGCTTTGCTCCTCAGAGCTCTCCACCAGGATGCTGCCGCGCGTTTAGCCTACCCGTCTAGCTTCTACCTCCCTTTCCAATTCTGTGTAACTCTGTACATCCAAATGTAGCCGGTATGACCGCTACTTCGTTCGCGGCTGCTTGAGTATAAAAAATCGAACACGTACCATAGAAAAGTAGTTCTGGTCATACTGAACTCCGTTTTTATACGTTCGCCTTATATGTATTTACCTTTTATCACTGTCATATCTCCATCTGAAATACTAAATTCTTTACAGACGTACTTCCATACAAGCTGGATGGTGAACAAAAAACCAAAGAGTTCTTGATGAAGGTTGTCGAAATCCTGCTGGATTTCGTGAAGCAAACCAACGACCGGAATGAGAAGATCCTGGATTTCCATCACCCAGAAGACATGATCAAGCAGCTCGATCTCAGGATTCCCGAGGAACCACTCACACTTCAACAGCTCATTCACGATTGCGCTACTACTCTCAAGTACCAAGTCAAAACAGGTAAAATATGCATTGATTATCCTTATGATATGACCCTATTGATATTGAGCTGTTGAGACTTTACTGCTTTTTTGTTCATCTGTAGAGTATTTGCTTCTATGGTTTTTTTGTAAGTTACTAGACTTGCCAGATTTTGTTGCCCAAATACCAAATAAAGTCGGGAAGAACAACAAGAAGTAAGAAAGGATAGTGACTATATTCGTTACTTGAGGATTGAGTCATGGTTGAGGAATGGTCTTCTTGGATTTTAACCAAACAATAACACTTCCTAGGGAGGATTTAATATACGATTTCGCAGCAGTAGCAGCTGATTTAAAAGATTTTTGACATATCACAGGCTTTTTCAAAAAATTTTCAAATCATTTATCAAAATTTTCAGATTTTTTTTACTCATAATTTTAAAAAAAAATTAGTTGTGCAATTTCCAAGAGGTTTTCAAGATTTTCAGTATTTTCAAAAATTTCTTAATATTCAAGATTTCAAAATATTCGTATCTTTAAAATATTCCAAAACATCTTGTAAGTTTCAGAATATGTTAAAAATTCCCTTGAAAATTTTGAAAATACGGAATATTTCAAAAATTTCCTCCAACGATACTAAATCCTCAAGAAATGTCCATAAATATGACCCTTAACTTTCAATATGTAGATAATGATGAATGAAGTTTTTTTTAAATATTCCAACTACCACGAAGGCCTAAGAGCCGTTTTACACACAAGAGAATTACTCCGAAAATTATGGTCATAATTATGCCGAAAATGTTTACTGTCGTATTACACGTAAAAGAATTCTTGTGAAAATTTTCATGGTAAAAATATAAAACCCGTTCTATATTATATGCGCGAGAATCGGCGCAGAGGGTTATTTCCGTGCATGTCAATATCAAATGTCAACGACAACAACAACAGCATAACCTCACTTAACATTTGTGGGAGTGGTCCTGTTCGAGTCGTACGAAGGAGCGTTTATTGTTATTGTTTATTCATAATGTCGTGGAATCGGGAAGAATTTACAATGTTGTTGGAGGAGTACCAAAAATGGCCAAACCTGTACAAGGTGAAGTCACCCAATTACAAAAACAGAAATTTGCGGCGTCAGGCGCTGGATGCGATAGTCCAAGCATTGAGAAGTTTTATAATATTAACCAAGATCTCGATTTTAAAAATGAATTTAAATTATCGACGTCTGTTGTCTTTCCGATTATATTGGACGTCATACCCGTTAAGGTTATGTCCATTTGAAAATATAACTCTAATGCGCAGGCGTATCATATGAATTACTCCGAAATTTTGTTTGCTTGTGTCATACAGGTTGTAGAGAAAATCTTCAATATTTTTTCCATGCAAATTTTCAGTATAATTATGACCATAATTTTCGGAGTAATTCTCTTTTGTGTAAAACGGCTCTAAGGCCTAAACACCCATGTGGTACCGTGGGGCTATAGGGGGATACAGGGAAAAGGGGGAATTCGTGTGCATCCACCATGAACAGATTCTGGCCCCGCCTACGAGATTTGCCGAGTGGCACCTCTGCGTTCGTCAGTCAGAGACCATCTACCACCTACGGACAATCACATCTAACATCTAATCCACACAGCGCACGGCGACTGATCAGGAGACCGAAGAGTCTACTGCGGCCACTGCTGCTGCCTAAATATAATTTTGCATTTAGTACTTAACGCGTCAATATGATTGTTCCAAGACAGTTCTTTGGCCAAAATATAGTAGCTTCATATACACATACGAGGGCATACCAGACGTATTGGAATTATGTACCCGACGTGTTATCCACTCGAAGTAGCTTCATTCATATAAGTATTATGCCTGACGTATCAGTACCATTTATTTAATAGTATAACAGCTCAATGAAGCATAATGGTAATTTATTTGTTCCTTTACATTTTCTTTACCATATTCTTAACAATGAGAATAACATGTGTTACTGTGACGTATTATTTATTAGTAGACTTGCGGTAATAAAATAGATCTGACAAAAAAATTAGGCATATTTTTTTATAGTATCTACTAGTAATGACTTCATAAATTCTGGAAGTATGTCGTTTACGTAAGTGAAATGTGCAATGAGTGCAAGTTCATAATTGGTAGCAGATTGCATGTTCTACTTCATACACTTCATACAGAATCAGATGAATAGGTGGAGCTGCAGCTGAACAGCATGACAAAAGAAAATTTAAAAAGAATATTTAGATTTAAATAAACGAATCATTCTGCATCATCAAATATACTAAGTGACATATAAATCCGAACACCCAGTTTAAATGGTTTTATTTTAATAAAAGTTGGTGAATGTATTTATCTTACTGTAAATAACAAGTGAAAAAATTTTCAGCCTTATCAGTTGGACATTCCGGTTTTTATAATGCTTTTTTTTTAATTCACTAACGCTCTAAAAATGAATATTTCAGCCGCAGTAAAGAATCAACGTTGGCGGATTTTGGTTCTTGACATCCTTTACGATCGGTTACGATGCCTAGAGTACGGAGACCTGTACGATTTCGTCAACTTAGTGAGTTTGATAGGGGCCGTATAGTGGGACGTTTGCAAAGGTGTAGACACTGGGTTAAGCTGGCTTCGAGAAGGCCTTAGCAAGAGAAGGGCACTGGACCCGCCGAGAACAACAGACCGTCGCCGCCTAGATTATGCTCGCGTTTCTCCATACCGGTCCATGCAATGAATGGTTGCAGCACGTTTGGCATGCGAGTGTTACACGAATGAAAGTTTGCTGTTTCAAGGCCACACTGGGTATCCTTCACTCAACACGAAACCCTGGTGTCTTGATCGGATGGAGGTCTTATGCGATCTCGATTTTGTTTAGCTGACGAGTCGTGCAGGGTGAGCTGACGTGGTGAGAGGGGAATCACAGTTTTTTGTGAAGCTGTTCTCAATGGGAGTATGTTGGGTGCCTTTGGTCAGGTCACCTTTATCTTCATCAGAGAAAGACGGCAGCGTTAAGGTTCTAGCCATCATTTACCCTACTTGACCCTGGAGATCCACTTCCGCAGTAATGCCCGAGTGTTGCAGAGTCCAATAGACTTCTTCAATAATATGTCAATTGTACATGGCCACATCTCCGACTATCCCGTGAGCAGTGTGGGATTATGGGTAGGAGATGCTATTTGCACGTCCTCCTACAGAAGCACTTCGATTGCCACAATCAGGCTGCCTGGCCGTTGGAGAAGCGGCACATCAGGTGATCCACCATTATTAAAGTCAGGGCTTTAAAGCATGCAATCATTTTGAAATTTTTGTATCATTGACTTATTATGCTTCATTAAGTACTTATACAAAATTTTATTAAAATAAAACCATTTAAACTGGGTGTCGGATTATATTGTCACTTAGTATACATGGAGCAAAATCAAACGGGTCTGCCTGGCAGGGACATCGCTTTTTTAACAATTAAAAACAAAAGTTGACCATAACACTACTCGCTAAAATCCTTTGGAATTTTGTTGTAATGTGTTGAGGAACATCTACCTAGGAACACTGGCAACATTAAAATTCCCGCTTGTTCATAATGGTTTTCGGGGTCTAAGAGTATATTTGCAGTTTTTCAGATATTGAACAGCTTGTATTTCGAAAAGTATCAACATTAGAAAGCTCATAAGACTCTTTTTGGTTCAGAATGATCCAAAAGCCAAAAACAATTTGATTCGGAGCGAAAACGCCAGTGTTTAAAAAAACTTGAAAAATAAAAAAAACTTTTACCCCAATTTTAAACATCGGACAGTGCAGATTCATAACATTTTTTCAAACAGAGGTGAGGATACTTCCTAGACTAACGCGTTTGAGTGCTTGCCAAGCTTCTCGCAAGTCGTCTTTTTCTCAATTTAAAACTATTGTTTCTAGCTAATATCAAATTACAGTATGCGACTCAGCTCAACCACCCCCCAGTTTTTCCTACCCTTCCGCTTTGAAAATTTCTATTAAAACTAGCTGCAGATTAGTCGCGTCGTTACCTTATCAGCATCTTCCGTCCTCGCGGCTGTGGTTGAAATAATCTGGAAAATTTATGTAAGCCAACGGGAGATGCTCCAACCCCTCCCCCCACTCCCTTGTTATTTCCTGCCCCTCCCTGTATCTATTATTATTCCGGCCACAATCTGCTCAGGGGTAGATAACATATTATCATTGAATTACGAACTATGTCAACGCCAACGCTATCCAAGCAAACAACGGGATTTTGATGATGGGGTATGATGCAAGCAAATGCTGGCTTTTGCATGGGCGGAGGTTTGGAAAAATGTCACTTTCACCGATCATTATAAACAATACGGTGTCTTCTTTTTTTATTTTATAAAATAACTAGCATGAACCTCGCTGGTCCACTCCGCATGGAAGTAGTGTAAAGACGAGGTCATACATACGTCTTGAATTAGCGAAGAAGATTAGTTTCGGAGAAAGAAATGCAATATTCAAAGTAATGTAACGTTTACCTTGGTAATAGATATTTTTTATTTTACATTTCAATGCAGCAATATATAAATATGACTGTCTCACGAGTGTGTCAGCATCACGCCTGAACCACAATACGAAGAGTCGTAAACTTATTAATTCAAACCCTGGAAAATACACGAACACCTAGAAAATTTTCCAACCGAGCGTTTTTTGAAAGAAAAAAGAAAAGTTTCATGATAACAAAAGTAATTTGTCGATGACATTAAATGTGACCTCAAAATCATATCTAAGCGAATTGACACTCTTAAACTAACTAACGATCAAAGAACGTCTTCATATAACTTTCTTTCATATCACTCACATGATAAATGTTTGTTTAGAAAAAGGATACCACCTTAAACAGTGGAAGAAGGCGTAGAATCTCAAATCCTGCAGAACTTAAACATGTTAGACACATAAGCTTCCAGAAAATCTGGAAAAGGTCATACCGAAACAAATAGATTATACTTGGAGTAAAACAGACCGATGTACCGATTTAAGTAAATGTTCATTTCGGTCAAACCAGAGTCTTAGCGCTTCTGTGTCAGACACCTCATGCAAAATGCCATTAAGCCGTTTGGGCTGTGGCCTGTGAAATAGATGTTGTAAACATATTTCGTGGGATAAAAAGTAGCCTCCACACTTTGATATGTCTGTGTACCAAATTTTATCCAGATCCGTTGAACCATTTTGGCCTGATTGAATAACAAACATCCACACTTTCTCATTAATAATATCAGTAGGTAAGTAGGTATATCGATGTGCCTTTATTAAAATTGTATACAAATCCAAAATGATATCTAGAAATGTGCAAAAGTACAAAAAAAGATGGAGCATCACCCTAGATTTGAAGAGAAATGAATCAACAATAAAAAAACGTCTAATAAGTTTCCACATAGAATAATAAGGGAGAGTGTGCGCACCTAAGCAAGATGTGCTTCCATGACTAGACCATCGACCTTATTACACTCATACTTATAGAAATTTAAAGAGCATTAGTAATGTACGCAGAAAGTGGGGAATTGTTCGCATTATTTTAAATATCTTCTCATAATTAAAAATAACAAATCAAGAAATTTTATTATGTGTTTAATAACATCTTACTAACATAAAATTTTATCTAAGTCTATTAAACATAACTTTAATTACCAGTGGCAATAATCACATAGGTAACCTTCAGCTCGACCAGCACCACTACATGCTGCATGATTCCATGTGGAACAGCCAACGCATCTGTACCATAGCTCCCGATCCCGACTGAACTCTCCACAAATACCACATTCTTCATTAAAGTTATCTCTACGTTCAGCATCGTCAAAATGATCAGACTCGTCTCCGTTATCGCAGACAGCAGTGCTAATATCAGCTTCACTACTTGTTTCTGACAACCTTCTCTTTTTCTTTGTAATGAATGTCTTATTTTACAATGTCTTCTTTCTTCTTTGTATCCGTTAAGTTTCTTTTAACTTTGTTGGCTGCTGTCATTCTTCTTTTTCCTCGGCTTTTTCTAGTTGTTCTTTAAAAAGGGTCGGTGTTATTATTTCAGAGCACTGTTTACCACGAGTCTTTCTCTTTGAATCTTCATGATTTGATTTCTTTTTGGAATCGGAGCAAAGCTGAAAAACGAGTTGTCTTGTTGCGAAGAATTACCTGCTTTATTCTGATTTACTGGAGATTCTCGTGATGTAGAAGGCCCAGCAATGGGTGTTGATGGTCTTTCAATATCGTTCTCAGTATCGGGTGTAGAAACTTCAACTATCAGGGGTCTTATTTGATTTTCAGGAGCAAAATCTTCCTCGGTAAATTTATCCGGGTTTAATGGATATATTCCAGCAGTTCTAAAACCAGAAATAGCTTTCTCCATAGTAGCTACTTTTAAAAATGCTCTATTCAAAAGTTCAGCCAAGTCGTATTCTGAAATTCTTTCATGTCGCGTATTGGCAAGCTGGATCATATTCCCTAGAGAGTTGGTGTTTTAAATGACCAAAAAATGTTGAGTCCAGTGGCTGAAGGTGGTCAGAAGTATGAGGTGGCAAAGAAACCATATGGATAAACTTGCTCCTACAGAATAAATAAGCTTCTAGGGATATATGATTGGAATGATTATCTGGAACTAGCAGAACAGGATCGTTTTCTGTGGGATTAACGTTTTTTTCAAAATGTTTTAATCATTCAACGAACAGCTCCGAATTGATCCATCCATTTTTAGAGCAGGTATAAAGAGCTGCAATTGATCCATTCTTTTTGTAGGGCTGGGGACATTATCTTTCTAGGATAGATTAACATAGATGGACAATAGTTACCTCCAGCACTAACTGCAAATTGTTGGCCCACGCTCCGCCGATATAACAGCTCCCACTTTTTGTACCCTTGCGTCCATAAACTTTTGGACACTTTTTTTGGACCACGGTGACCCCTGTTGCATCCATGTTAAAAATCCTGTTTGGAGGTAATTTATGTGTGTCCATTACCACTTTGAGATTTTCAAAAAACTTCTTAGTTGATTCGGAGTTGAAGGAACCAATTCTATTTGTGCTAGGGCCCTCTGGCTGCTTAAGTTTTATTTCAGGATTTCGTTTTAGAAATCCATATAATCAGTCTTTATCAGCTATTTGCTTTTCGGATGAGAAAACATGTCCTATATTATATTCTTTTGCATATCTAAATGCTAACCGACGAAGTTCTGTGGGCGTCAAACCATAAAACAGGTTGGCAGGTATAAGCACGTACTCCTTTAGTTGGGCCTCAATCTCGGAGGAAAATACTGGCTTACGACCAAGGCGCGATGATTCGGGATTTTCTTTTGTCATTTGCTTTCGTCATGTTGACTCTGGTATATTAAATGCCCGGCCAGCTTCTCTTATTTTCTTGTCATTTCTAATTCCCTCTAACGCTGTCTTCAAATTTTCTGGATCCCGGGAATTCTTTTTTGTCTTCCGTATGTAATTTCGTGACATCTGTTAAAGAAACAAAAAATTATTCATTTAATCCTATGTGGGGTAATTGTGCGCAGTACAGCGCACAGTTGCCCCGCAGGGCATTATTTGCAAAAACTTGTCATAGCAGATACCTAAAATCGCTGCATCATAATTTAATTTATATAAAAAGATGCCTAAACGCCTACTAATTATGACTACACATGCTAAAAATCTATTAAAAATAAACAGACAGCTTACCTTCTAGAATCAGGTACCTCCAAAATTATAACCAAACAAGATGTGTGATCAATGCAAAACGTTCACAAACTAACTGAAATAGACGCGTTTTCAAGCATATGCCGTACTTGATACGTTGCCCGCTAGGTGGCAGCACTTGTTAGACTGAGTAATATTTAATATTTAAGGAAGGAACGCAATGCGCACAATTACCCGTTGCGCACAATTTCCCCACTCTCCCTTATATAAAAAAATCCAGGACATTCGTAGATTAAAGGCAAGTTCTCAAACAGTAGCTTTCTATCGCCTACATGCCAGATTGTTACCGGCTCCAAGGCTAAGGCAGAAGTTCTTGCCAAGATATTTGCCGCCAATTCACCATGCGGGAAGTAACTTTAGGCATATGAGCGTCACATCAGTACTCTTTGCTTCCTGATTCCTCTTATTACACTGAAGAAATGTGCAGTCGAGTTTGCACCATTGTTTCACGTCTCTTCCAGATATCTTGAGAGTCCGGTACTTTCCCAGATGGTTTGGAGGTCTGCTCATGTTCAGCCCGTTCAAAAACAAGGCTCTAAAGCCTACACACAACTATGGAGTAAACTACTTCAGCCACACAGTGAAGCTCATACCGTTAATCATGGTATGTAACTTCCATCCTATTTCCTCCCTGAAAAGTGTTCCATATGGGTGGCTGCTTTCCTCTCCAGTCGCAAAATTTTCGTCGCAATTGAATGGTTCTCTTCGCCCACAATATCAGCGCGAGTGTTCTCCAAGGATCGGTGTTGGTTCTAGCACTATTTCCGTTACATGCTAATAGCCTCTTCTCCTGCGGATCAATCCAGCCTGATGACAGCACTCGACAAGTAGGCAGCTGGAGAGAAGAAGGTTAGAATTGCTTTGCCTTTTGACGAGAAATCTGGAAGTTACCACTGCTTCGGACCCAACAATATGGTACAGTTCAATGCTTCCAAATCGCGAATTAAAGGCCTAGCGTACATCCGATTCCGAAGGATCTTCGACTTCTGCTAAGAAGTCATTCGCTTCATGTGTGAGTCCACATCACACATAACTGGATTTAAGACAAACGCAGCTGGTCAATCGCGACAGCTGCTGAGAAAGAGTGCGTTTTTTTGTTTACGGTTAAGATGTATTGATTTCCACATAACCTCCTCATTCGTCTACCGCCCTGTATACTCTGTTTAAACAAAAAGCTGCTATCTGTCCGACTGTTCGGTGACACTTCTCTAAAGAACAGTCTAGCGCTCCTTTCAAACCCACGGTGACGGGTGGTCGGCGAGCAGGCTCTCTTCTACCACTATGCCGACGGACCTTACCAGTCTCCAACATGGTTCCGCTCGCGATGAGACTGCCAAATGGACCCACCAGGTTTCTTCCTCCTACCTGAACTCTATCTGACTTCATACAGACCAAGTTGCCTGGGGAGGTTTTTACCAGTTATACTAGCAAGCAGTTCAAAAATCAGATTAGAAAGGTGTGTTTAACATAAGCTCCTTATAGCAGTCACATGAAACTCCTTGCAATGGAATATGTCTTCACCTATTGACATAGATAGTATAAATGTGCCATCTGCAAGACCTTCTTAAGCTATGTAGGGGTACATAGCAAGCTCGAGGCCTGCAGCTGAAGAGCGAAATCTGGGGATGTGCTTGCCGTTGAGGAAAGTCGAAGAGCGGGCGGGAGACTCTAATTTTTCTTTTGAAATCTCCTTTGACTGCATTTGGAGCTCCTCATGAAGCAAGAATAAGCAATCTGGAAGTAGAAATTTTCCGGGTTCACGATACTCCCCTCGCTGATGTATGGATAGAATGAAGTTATTTTAGCCAAAATAGCCACTTTTTCTTATCTCCTCACCAACCGCATTAGCCGATAATACCAACCCTCGACATTTCGCGATGTTATCAAAACACATATCCGCTACATTTCGGTTTTCTGATTGGCAGCGAAGAAAAGAAGGAAATGTTAAATGAAAAGCAACACGGCGGTATCACCGCAGGGGTCCAACTCAGATTGAATGCCGAATCAGGGTGGGTTTTGAGGCGCGACACCGATAATAAACATACAATAAGTCCCTGGAGGACCTGGCACGTGCCAGCGCTGCTGTCAAATGCAGAAGGGTGCTTGAAGCTCTCGAGAGACTATCAGCATTACCATCGCATGGGCGCTGCACAGCGAGCTAGTGGCTTCAATTGTCACTCTTTGCTTGTGAAGCAGCTCAATTGACGATGCCCTTTACAATTTTTTTAAAAATCTCATAATAATAATAATCATCTCTATTGTACAAAGGACAAATCTGACGGCGAGGCTTCGCATATGCTACTCTCACACCTAACCATAAAGCTGTGTTCTCATGCGGCACATTAGTGTGATCCTCGCATTCGTGGAATTAGCTCTGTCTGGACAAAGTGTCATGAGTTTGCCTCCGTGTCAAATAGTCGAGAGCAAGGAAAATGGTAATCTGCCTCTGGAATGTGTGGTGAAATGCATTCCATCAGGAAATCAAACTATAGTTGAGACAGTTGTAGAAGTTTTTTTTAAATCTTCACGGTGTTTATTTCTTGGTTACATGTCATCCAAGTGGTGTACTCCCAAATTTGTTCATGTAAGTACCCACGCCTGGCCCAAAAAAGCTTCGTCTTTTGTTTTTTATCGGTCTACCTGCCTCTAAATGGAATAAGACAAGAGCCAGGACAGAGAGATGGAAGGCGTGCCACGCTGTCGTCTTTTGCCCCGTGAGGAACAGAATCCATGACACTGACAATTGATTTGACCATTAATCAACATGTTCTACCTAAAATGAGCCAACGTAAAACCATGTTCCCGTGTCAAAAAAATCATCCGAGATGAATTTATCACAGCTATGTTTCTAATCTCCGCTCTCTTTTGAAAAGATTAGTATCTCATAGCTGTAGTCAATTATAAGTATTAGCAGTTGTTTCATTTTCAGGCGTTGAATGGACATTCTTGTCTTGATAAGCAAGATAAAGACGGTAAAACCATGCTAATATAGACGCACATCTAATACAATTGTCCTCTGTAAACCACTCAATTGCTGTTTACATTACTCATCATCAGCTACCTAGTTTTGAAATTTGTATGCCTGCTAAGTTCTTGAAATTACCGTGGTTAAGGTAGTAGAACGTATCTTGCCAAAAATAGAAGAACTACAACTCGTCATTCCACACAATTTTCTCATCACTCAAAAATGTTCCGGAAATAATCAGAGACCACATGCTTGAATAACACAGATATCATAATGTCGATACAAATGTTAAGGAAAAACAATTTTAATGATACTTAGCTGAAATTCTACTCAAACATTGATTAACATATCCTACCTGAAGATAGTCAACCTAATACTATATTCCCGCGCCCAAAAAAGTTATCCGAGATGAAATGCGGTACCGTAGAGTCGGCAGAGTTTCTCACAGCTCAAGGTTAGTATCTCATAGATGGGGCTGTAGCCAACTCGCAGCGCTGTCTATGAGAGACTAACCAAAGTAAATTCCTAATTAATGCGGAGAGAATAAACACAGCTGTCTTAAATTCTCATAGATGACGCTACTGATTTCATCTCGTATAATTTTTTTGGACGCGTGTATAGAGTATTAGGTTGGCTATCTTCAGGTAATACGTTAATTAATGGTTCGACATTGTGAATTACTTGTCAATATTATTTAATGGTGATTACATAGTTTAGTGAATTGACAAAGGAATAAATAT